TTTTTTTTTTTTTTATTCCTACACGTGCATGAGAGTGTGGTCACGTACATCAAGTGGTAGACTTTGTAGGGTATCCTCATCATTTTCAGAAAATATGGCCGAAGAAGATAATCAATCACTTCATAATGAGAATAATGAGAATAACCGTGCTAGAACACTTAGAGACCACATGAATCCCACAAGAACAAGTGCACCATCATGCATAGTTTTTCCTCCCGATGCATCTCATTTTAATTTTAAACCAGGTATTATTCAACTTTTACCTTATTTTTATGGTTTTGAATTGGAAAATCCATACTTGCATTTAAGGGAATTTGAGGAGGTTTGTAACACATATAATGATTCAAATTGTAGCATGAACATCATCAGATTAAAGCTTTTCCTTTTTTCATTAAAAGATAAAGCTAAAACATGGCTATAAAATTTGAGACCAGGATCCATTCGTGCTTGGGATGAAATGCAACAACAGTTTAGCCCCTAGAGTTTTAAATTTTTGTGTTATTTTGATTTGTATTGTTTGAGAATTTTATGATTAGATTCTAAATTTTATTTTTATTGTATTTTAAGCCTTGTATGTTAAGAAATGGAAAGAAAGGGAGGAGAGAGAAATCATTCAGATGTTTATATTTTGAGGAGGAAACAAATTGATTTTAATGTTAATGATTTTTTACAAGTGAGTTGATAATTTTTATGTTGAAATGCATTAAAATAATATTTTTTATATTTTAAAAATTATTTTTGATATCAACGTATCAAAATGATCCAAAACATAAAAAAAAATTTATTAATTTTTTTTGAATTTTTTAAAAATATAGTTTGCACCATATTCTCAAACAACTTCTTCACTAGCACAACAACCACGCTGCATATCCAACTTTAATTAACAAAATACTAAAGCATTTTACTAAATTCCTGTTGCTACATCTATAAAATATTATTTATTATAATAATATTTTTTTCTTATTATTTTTTTAAGGTGTTTGAGAGCGTGATAATAGTTATTTTTTAAAGTATTTTTCATTACAAAATACATTAAAATAATTTTTTATTTTTTAAAATTATTTTTAACATCAGTACATAAAAAATTATATGAAAACATTAAAAATACATTAATTTAATGATATGAAAACATTAAAAATACATTAATTTAAAGAAAAATAAAAAATAAAAAATTTAAATTTTTTTAAAAGCGCTTTCAAAACATAAAGCCAAACACTCACAAAAAATAACCCAATTTTTTATTTTTTATAGTTTTTTATCATTCAATTTTAGATTATTTTGTGAAGATTTCTTTTTTAATTAGTTTATATATCAGTCCTATGGATTTTTTTTTTTAATTTCAACTTTCAATATTAATGAATTTTTTTTTAATTTCAACTTTCAATATTAAATATGTTAGAAGTGGTTTCATAGTTTTCTTCGATTTCCTTTTTATAAATATATTTTGATCTTATGTTTTAGATCGTAGATTTAACAAGTTAAATCGGGTTGACTTTGATTTTTTTGGATCATTTTTTCTAATTATTTTTTTTTAATTATATTCTTCGACATTGAGTTGGTTTGGAAATTAGGTTCCATAATTATTTTTCAATTTGCTTTCTATGTGATTATCTTAATTTCATAACTTGAGTGAAGTTTCAGAAGTTAACTCTATTTATTCTTAGCTTTTTTTTTTTAAATTGAGCTTCATGCTTTATTCTAATTTGCTTTTAAAGTTGAGCTTCATGCTTTATTCTAATTTGCTTGTCATGGAAGTAATTCGATCTTATAACCCGGGTCAAATGTTTGGTAGGTTAATCTAGGCGTGACCAAGGTTGGCTCGATTTATTTTTTTGTTTTTTTAATTGAATATTTTTCTATTTAATTTTATCTTTTAACAACTCAATTTTCTTCTTATTTATTTATTTATTTTTTCTTAATTTTATCTTTTAATATTAGATTGTTTAGAAATTAAGATTTGTATTTTTTAATTTGTTTTTATTAGAGTTATCTTGGTCTTATGAATTTAATTTCTTTTCTCGATTTCAACTTTTGACATTTGATATGTTAGAAGTGGAGCTTTGTAGTTTTTTTTGAAATTATCTCAATTTCATGATTAAGGTTATATGTTTAACAAGTTAGTATGAGTTGACTTGAGTTATTTTTTTAATTTATTTTTTAATTTTATTCTTCTGCATTAAGTTCGTTGAAAATTGAGTTTCATGATTTTTTTAATTTAATTTATATGAAGTTATCATGATTTCATGATATAAATTATAAATTTATTATATAAAGTTGACTAGAATATGTTTTTTTGTTATTTTTTAAAATTTATTCTTTAATATTAGGTTAATTAAAAATTAATCTTTATAATTTTTTTTTTATTTTTTTATAAAGTTATCATAATTTTATGATTAAAATTATAAATATATCATAATTTTATGATTGAAAAATACTTAAACCAAATATTTTTTTTTTTAATATCCCCTGCATTGTATTTATATTTTGAGTTTAAGATTAATTTTTTTTTATTATTTATTTTTACATTAAGAAAAATTGAATGTAACGGTGAATTATCTAGTTTCCATCCTATTTCTGTGGATATTTCTACTGCAGGGGCATCAGATCTTTGGAGGAGCTTGTCAAAAATTAGGATCTTGAGGCAAAACATTCATTGGACCCCAGGGAATGGCCTTCTTGTCCGTTTTGGCTGGAGCCATGGGTGCCAGGTGAGGGTGCGCTACTGTCTCGTGCTCACAGAATTGTCAATGAGGATTTCTTACAGCAGCGGGGGCAATTTTTTTAAGCTTAATTCGGGACTGGATGCGTTTTAATCTTCGGATTCTAAGGGCTGTTAAGGACAGTGCAGTATTAGTTTGGTGTTCGCTGCTGCTGTTACTTATGGTGTTGAAGAAATAAAAGCTCGTTTGAAGCTAGCTTTTCCTTTCCAAATAATCCCATACGCATTCTTGCTTATTCCATAAAAGTGGTGAATAGTGCTGCTGCTGCTGTTGCCGCTTCTAATCCAGCTGCTGTCCGCCATGAACTAGTCATTGGTTGGGCGATCCAAAAGCTGGGTTAAGTTGAACACTGATGGGCCTTTAATAAGATCTTGGTTACTGCCACTGCGGGAAGCCTCATCACATTGGTGTTCGTTCAGTGTTGTGAGCTGAGATTTAGGGTATTTTGTTAGGACTGGAGAGAGGCTGGAATGAAGGATACAGGAAGGCTTTGGTGGAGCCTGCTTCTGCTGTAGGTGCTCATCTTTAACTTCTTCGACATCTTTACAGGGTGATTATAGGAAGCTGTCTTCTTTTTCAACGCCCATGGCTGGTCATATCACGGAGCTAATAGAATTGCAGATTGACCTGCTAATCATGCGTCTGGAGTTGTTACTCCAAGGTTTTTTAAGCCTTGGTTTCTACAGCTTTTCTCTCCTTTTAATAATAATAATAATAATAATTAAAAAAAAAGAAACAGAGAGGAGACAGGGAAAGTGGAAGAGTGGGGTCCCGGCCAGTGTTGAACGGTCAAAAAGAAGGAAAGTGAAAAATACAAGAACAACACACTTATTTATGGCTTCTTTCTCTATCTGTGCCGAACAAAATAGAGTAGTACTTGGTAAAAACTTTCCAAAATCCAAACCAAAGAAAGCTACATCAAACTACCTTGTCCTGACCCTCTCTCTTTCTTCCCCCCCTCTTCTCTCTCTCTAGAGCCATAATCGATTCTTTAAAGCATTTTGCTTGTTGAAAACCGGTCATGAATTCGCCTCTCCCTGCAATACCCTCCCTTCATCCCCTCAATTTCTTGACCTGATCTGCAAGTCTAGGTAAGTTCCTCTTTTTTCTTTTTGCTCATTTTTATTTTTGATGGATTTCTTACAAGCTGGTTCTTTTTTTGAAGTTGAGTCCTTTTGTTTTTAGTTTCTGGATCAGGCTATTTACATTGTTATGCTTTGATCTGTGTGTGCATCAGGAAGGATCTTTACTTTTATTTCTTTTACTACTTGGTAGTTTATGCTGTTTTATCCTTTTCCTCTTGTGGTAATTACACAGAATTTGTGAGTCTTGTGGATCTTCGTTATCCTCTCATTTAATTTTGCTTGGCCTCTCTCTACTTAAAATGTGTTTTAGCGGGTGGCTTTTCAAAAACAAGCTTACATTTTTTATTAAAAAAACTTGCATTTTTGTTTAAGTGGAAAGAAATTAAAACTTAATAAATCCCATCTCAAGCAAACTTCCGTTTTGGCTTCTCTGGCAAAAACCCATCTCAGTTAAACTTATTTTGCTATGTCTTATGCCTTTTGTTGGCAGAGGTTAGCAGAGAGATGAGAAAAAACTGCCTAAACTAACGATGTGGGTTAGCCACTCCAAACTTGTTTGAGATTAATGATTTGTGTGTATGGTGAAAGAAATTAAATATCTTTCACCTTTCCTTGCCGTTTTCAGTGTCAGAATAACGCATGAATTTTAGTGTTTGACTGTTTACTTGAGTGCTGATAGGAGCTTGACTTGCAACTTTGTGTCCAATGGAGTTTGGCTATTAATTTCTATTTTAAGTTGATTAATTTCTTAACCTTTGACAGTATCTATTATCCCAAGTCTAATTGATCTTCAAATCTATCTATTTAGGGTCTGTAAGAAGCAGATGATTTGGTTGCAAAATTATTTTGTTACTACAAAATAATCTTTTATGACATTTTGTTTTTCATTGTCAGAGTTCTTTCTCAACATGGAATTTTTTAATTAACTCTTTGAGATCTTACTAAAGTCTTAATAACAGCACATTGCATGAATTTAAGTAGAATGCCAGTCGACATGCTGTAATGCTGGCACTTTGCATGGATGGCTCCTTATGCATTTATTTTTGTTCTTCTTCCTTGTGAAGATTGTTGTTGTGTGAAAGCTATATTTTATCAGCTTGCAAACTGTATTTAATATCAAAGGGTAACTCATTCCGCATATGCATTGATGATGTACCCTGTTTCTTTTACATGAAACAACTAACCTTGATTAGTCTTTTACACAGGTGAGTTACTGAATTTTTATGGTGCTAGCAAGGTGAATTTGTAAGAGGATCTTCTTGATTACTTTCTTTTTTGAGCAAATGGCTTCTGTAAGTGTTGTCCCTGCCTCTGGATTGCGAGATACACGTGGAAACACAACTGGTATTGATAAGTTGCCTGATGAGATGAATGGCATGAAAATTAGTGATGACAAGGTATACTAGCTGCCATCTCCTCCAACTTGCTATTATCCATTTCCTCCAACTAGCTATTGTCATCTGTTTCATTGCCCATCACTTGTGTTGATTGCTTGGTTTCTATATTATTTACCTGGTTGAAAAATGTCTAATGTTGGACAGGAAATGGAAGCAGCTGTGGTTGATGGTAATGGAACCGAGACAGGTCATATAATCGTCACGACTATTGGTGGCAAAAATGGCCAGCCAAAGCAGGTTATTATCTTTAAATTCTAGCCTCTTGGTGAAATATATTCTAGTGTTGTTTTCATTTTGTGATGATATAATTTAATCCCTGATGAATGCAGACAATAAGCTATATGGCTGAGCGTGTTGTTGGGCATGGATCTTTTGGACTAGTGTTCCAGGTAAGTTGTTATCTAGATATAATATTCATTTTTTTTTAGCTGTATGATTCTCATACAGTTTGGATGAGGCACTAAATTTTCTGCTATTTCGTTTTTCTCTGTGGTATGGGTATTCAGGCGAAATGTTTAGAGACTGGTGAAACTGTTGCTATAAAAAAGGTTCTGCAAGATAAAAGGTACAAGAACCGGGAGCTGCAAACCATGCGTCTTTTAGACCACCCTAATGTAGTGTCTTTGAAACACTGTTTCTTCTCAACAACTGAAAAAGATGAACTCTATCTTAACCTGGTACTTGAGTATGTCCCTGAGACCATCCATCGTGTAATCAAACACTACTATAAGATGAGTCAAAGGATGCCTTTGATATATGTCAAACTTTACTTTTATCAGGTATGAGTTGTATATGTGCTTTCTGTCCTATTTGAAGTGTGTTTGTTATGCACTAGATATAGGTTATATGATAAGTGTTTTTACAAGTGGAGTTTATTAGCTTATGGCTCTTATTTGATCCTTTTTTTCTTACTCATCAACAGATTTGTAGAGCTCTTGCTTACATTCACAATAGTATTGGAGTGTGCCATAGAGACATAAAGCCTCAAAATTTATTGGTACGTTGACAAGGGTGCCTGGTTTTTCTTTTACTTGGAGTAGCACCTGCAATGTGGAACATTTGTGCAGCAAACTACTAAATGTGCTTTTAAGATGGCATTGTAGTGTTCTTGTAATATTCTGATCCTATTTCAATGCTTGTATTATTACTTTCTCTATTGTGAATCTCCTTTTTTTATTTGTCATAGGTGAACCCACATACGCACCAAGTGAAACTATGTGACTTTGGAAGTGCAAAAGTTTTGGTATGGATTTTTCTGTGCTGGAATTATTATCATTCTTTGAGTTATGATATGTATATAAGATATATTATTCTAATTCTGATGACTTTTGACAGGTTAAAGGCGAACCAAACATATCTTACATATGTTCTAGGTACTATCGAGCACCTGAACTTATTTTTGGTGCCACTGAGTACACCACGGCCATTGACATCTGGTCTGCGGGATGTGTTCTGGCTGAATTACTGCTTGGACAGGTAGGTGGCTTTGTTTTTTTACAAGTTTGTTTAGCTGTATTGTTTTGGGGTTAGTAAATTATACAAGTAACATATATTTTTATTGGTGACAGCCTCTCTTTCCGGGTGAGAGTGGAGTGGACCAGCTGGTTGAAATTATAAAGGTAATAATTGTTTCTGATACTTAAAAAAGTTCTAGATTGGTCTGTATAAGAAAAATCCATTTTCAGTTTTTCTACCATCTGATCCAGTACAATTGGTCAAGAGGTTAAGTTTTAATTATAATGAACTTAGAGGAAGCATTCCTTGTTATGTTGCTGAGATTTGAAATTTCTAGCTTTCTTTAACTGCCTGTGCTGTAAGTTCTTTTCCCTTACAATTTATGTGATTCTCATGCAGGTTTTGGGTACCCCGACAAGGGAGGAAATCAAGTGCATGAATCCTAATTACACAGAGTTCAAATTTCCTCAAATTAAAGCTCACCCATGGCACAAGGTACCTGAAAATATTGCTTCTGCCTTGTCTCTACAAAATAAACTCGTACAAATGATCTGAATTTCACTTCTTTGCGTCCTGTGATTGCTAGATATTCCACAAGCGCATGCCTCCTGAAGCTGTGGACCTTGTCTCAAGACTATTGCAGTACTCTCCAAACCTCCGAAGCACAGCTGTGAGTATAAAATTCCAGCTAGATGAAATGAAAAATTATTCTTTGAATGGCCTTTTCTTCCCTCAATACCTACTCTGTTGCTTTTTCTGATTGTAAATATGGTGTCCTTGTACAAAGATACCTCCAGGTTCATGCCTTTTGACACTTTGTATTTTGTTTCTTGAAGTCGTTCCAGGCACATAATGCATCTTTTTGTCATTGACTCAGCTGTACCGTTTAAGACATGAAACAGATCTCAGGAATCCCCGTTCCAGATGTCCTGCTTTTCTGCAGAATATTAGGGAAACAGGGAACCCCAATTAGGCATTCACCTTCTTGACTTGTAGTTGAGCTTTCTATTGTATGTGTGGTGTTTTCTATTGTATGTGTGGTGTAGCATCGATTGAATGAACGAGTTCTTTAGGTTTTAGCTGTAAGCTTTTGTTTTGTGGCTGCCCTTTTTTAGTAACAGTGCTTTTGGTTTATTTATTTATTCTTATAATTTATTTTGTAATGCAGCTGGAGGCTTTGATCCATCCCTTCTTTGATGAGCTGCGTGATCCTAATGCCCGTTTACCTAATGGACGCATCCTTCCACCACTGTTCAACTTTAAGCCTCATGGTAATGACCTGTTCTCAATATTCATCCATTAATTCCTTCGAAGTTCCTGTTTATGATTGTTATTGATTTCTCTCTACTCTACGTGTCAGAGCTGAAAGGAGTACCATTTGAGATGCTTGTCAAGCTGATCCCAGAACATGCAAGAAAGCAGTGTGCCTTCCTTGGGTTGTGATGCTGTCCTTTCTGGCGGTATGCTCCTTGCAGAAAATGGTGCTCCACTGTAGAGAAGTAGCTAGTGGCCTGTTTAATGTGGAACCATATGCAAGCTGTGTTATTTGTTGCATCCCCAGTTTAATTTATTCCATTTTTATAATTATTTTGAAGTTATGTTCATCTTCTATCTTTGTGTAGAGAGCAGGTAAAGAAGGCTCTGCGTAGCATGTTATTAAGACCTCCATGGCATTACTGACCCTTAATCTTTAAGTGAAAGACAAGTTGCAACTTATGTAATTTTCTTGGCTACAATTCGATCCCAAGGATTACATTGAAAGAAGATTTCTGTTTCCTCTGTTTTTATTTTTTTTGGCTGCAAAACAGATTAAGCAACCCATAATTCTCAGCTTGATCTATCCTCCTTGCACGATTAATGGATGTCAAGTAGACCAGCGGGGGCTTGTCCGTACAGGATTTATTCAATGAAATGTATTAGAAGGGTTAAGAATGGATGGCGTTTTATTTGAGAAAGTGAATTAAATGAATACTCTGTATGTGGGGTTGAAAATATTAGACTTCATTAGTCGGCATGTTAGGCGGCGGATTTGTTGGGTCCCAAATTTCAAAAGCGAGCAGCGTCAATGGCTTACTTTTGCTCCTAACTACAGCGCTTTTAGACATGCGTGGACTGGGAGTAATGATGGAACCGCCATAGCATCTTCTGCTCATAAAGAATAATGGGACATCAAGATGGATTTTGCCTCGTCTCCATGTCAGGCGTAGTGATCTGAGAAATGATTAATAAGCCCAAAGCATAGCAGTGGAGATGGTTTGGTTTTTTTTTTTTTTTTTTTTTTTTTTTTTTTTTTTTTTTTTAATAAACCACAATCTCTAGTCTGAGACAGTCATTCGTTTCCTACTTGTGCCTTCAGCAAGCTTTAGTAATCTTTCTAGGCTTGAATTCGATCTATTCTTAGCATTGGTGGTATCCATAGCATTGGTGCAGACTTGGTCTTCTTGATATGAATCAGGAATCCAGGCAGTACGATTTTCAAAGAGGAGACAAGAAGGGGGTTCGATGACTTGTAAATTGAAACGTTCTGGGTTCTGTTGCAAAAGACATTCTGTTGATTGAGAATTCTGCCAGGTACAGATTCCGAATTCGGAAGGTATGGTGGCAACACCGAATAAGATATAATGGATTTATTTTAACAAATGGTTGTTTTGATTTAAGCATGCTTCGTCACACCACTTTAAGAGTTTGTAAAATGAAAAATATACTACAGAAGACAGAATCCATGCTGCATGTAGTCTCAAGATGATAGGAACCTTAGTGAAATGCTGAACAAGGTGATCCATACCAATCTTCGCGTTAACCATTTGATCTTTAGATCACTGGAAATGGACGTGTCAATCATTATGACTTTGAATTAGCGTGCTGTTCTGCTTTGATTAACTTGCAGAAAATGTTATGTCATTGGATACTAAAATCATATTACTAGCAGAAATGCTTCTAAAAACTGTTCATGGGTACAGATAATAAGCACTAAACCCCTCAAGTGGACATCAGTGGATATATATCACCGAAAGGGGCGATGAGAGAAACCATGATCAGACATGTTTGCATTGATCTGGTCGGTTATAAGATAAGCTTCAACAAGCCTTACCAGAGCTCCAAGTGAAGTTTCCACTACAAGGAAAGATAAATTAATTTTAGGCAGACATTCACCCTCCGGTTCCTAAAGCCGACCACTTCCAGAAAGTGGATGTTTGCCTTTCTGTATCTTTCGAATCGTACATGAGCGTATTAACTGCAAAACAAGGGGTTGAAGTGACAGTGAGTTGATTAAGCTATTTCAATAAAAAGCTGATGGTTACCAATATTTGTCCTTTCACCCTTCAATTCCATTGCTTACATGACAGGCTATTTTTCCCACTGAGATGGAAGTTTCTTTCTGTGGAGATGCTGCAATATGCTGTAACAAGACCTTTGACAACTAATAAGCATTTTCCATGTTTCAATACATAAGTAGGAGAACATAAGTGTTGGGCTAAACATTTCCTTGATCACTAATAATCATATTCAAAATACCATATGCATATACAGCTCAAGAGCCATGGAAATGATTCAGTTTAATCTGTTTTCCCACAAGCAGGGGTTTTGCCATCATCATCCATAAGTGCATGTGTCTATTGATCAGCTGTGTTGAACTGCACATAGGCCCCAAACCAGAGGTGTTTTCAGATAGAGCTTCATTTGTTACACTGCTTAATTTAAACAATGCTGAAATCTAGGAAGAGATTTCACTAATTTCAGTGCCAGTCACAAAATCAATTTCGATCCTCTCATACAGGTATGGTGTCAAACTTACACCTATTACAAAACGTGATATCGCTGAAATAACCAAATTGGGGACCGATGAAAGTGAGAGTTATGGGAGGAACACGGGGGCTTATCGACTCTTGCTATTCCTTTGACCTTTTTCCCGAACAGTCATCGGCAGACTCCACATTCTCAAAGAAAAAAAGAAAAGCCAAAGCCTACAAGGAACTCGGTCGGTTCCCGCCGCCAAAGCCATTAAAAGAAGTGGTAAGGTGCAAGTGTTTTTCAAAGCCACCTCCACTATCCACTCTTATTATAAATATGGAAACAGGGCTTTCTGGCTCTGTATACTTTCCAAAGCCAAACTTGGTCTTTGTCAAGTTGCTCTAGTGCACGCAGTGGTCACTTGAACAAGCATCTTGCTTGTTTCAACTTCAAATATTAATTGTCAGGTAGTTTTTTATCTAGTTTATGATAATTCGTAGTGCAAAAGCAATTCAAACATTTTTTTTTTTTTTGAGTTCCGGCAAGTGGAAAGACTCTAGAAGAGTTCTCTTTTGTTTCCACCATTTAAGACATCTACCAAGTTGAGCTTAACATGGAGCATTCTCGTCTCTCTTTACTAGTATTTGGCATTTCTTTCATTTGCTTCTTCCTTTGCACCCAAGCTAGGTGGCATAACCATACAAAACACCACAAACACAATAATAATCACAGATCACCCACAATTTCCGAACCTCCCACGCCTCCACCTGAGTCCGCTGATCCTTCAGATGGGAGTGGCTATAACTCTAGTGGAGTTTTTGATGTACGAAATTTTGGGGCTATAGGTGATGGTATAATAGATGATACGGACGCGTTCAAGATGGCATGGGATGCGGCCTGCAACCAAGTTGATCCTGCTGTCATCCTTGTTCCTTATGGTTTTGATTTCATGATCCAATCTACAATTTTCTCTGGTCCTTGCAAAGATGGTCTAGTGTTTCAGGTAATATTATTTGCCAGTCATTTCAGGTTCTTCTTTGTGCCTTTTAAGGTTTGAAAAGACTTACTAATTCTGGTAATTGATTGGTTATATTCTGTTCATTGAGAAGGTTGATGGGACTCTTATGCCACCTGATGGACCTGATTCTTGGCCACAGAAGAACAGCAGACGTCAATGGCTTGTATTCTACAGAATAAATGAAATGTCACTTCAAGGAGGTGGTGTAATATATGGCAGAGGAGAGAAATGGTGGGATCTTCCTTGTAAACCCCACAAGGTACTGCTGAAACAATTCTTTCAATCTGAAATATTTGGGTTGGCTTTGTGTTAGTGATTCATGCCAGGAATAAATGGAACTCATTAATTTTGTAAATATATGATAAAAAAACTAGCATCCCTGACAAGCCATTTCTTGAAAAACTCTCTACAGCCTGAAAAAATTTGGGTCGACTTCGTGTTGCTGATTCTTTACGTTTATGGCACAGGGAATAAATGGAACAACAATGCCTGGACCTTGTGATAGTCCAACTGTAAGTCATCTACACTTGAACCTTTTATTTTCACGCCCAATTCAAAATATTCTTGAATTCTTTCAGTAAAACCTAACACTTGAAATACAGGCCATAAGGTTCTTCATGAGCTCAAACCTAACTATCCATGGACTTAAAATCAAGAATAGCCCGCAGTTCAACCTCAGATTTGACAACTGCAAGAATGTTCATGTAGAATCAATTCACATTACCGCTCCTGCCTTAAGTCCCAACACTGATGGAATTCACATAGAGAACACCAATGGTGTTGGGATATATAATTCGGTGATTTCTAACGGTTAGTCAGAACATATAAATCTTTCTCATTTCCATTGACAGCTTCCCTCAAAAAGCTCACTAACATCAAATTGTTCAACATTCACCTGTTCATAGGCGATGATTGTGTATCAATAGGGTCAGGTTGTTTTGATGTGGACATAGAGAACATCACATGTGGACCAAGTCATGGAATCAGGTATGTACAGAATGTTATATATAAGGCTCTAATCTTGGAATTTTGTCTGTCACATTTTCTTGGACTTATAGGTTAATCTTTTTGCAAATTTCCCCTCTGATCGTATTAAAACCAGCATCGGGAGTCTAGGAAATCACAATTCACGAGCCTGTGTTTCCAATATCACAGTCAGGGACTCGGTGATTAGAGTCTCGGATAATGGAGTTAGGATCAAGACATGGCAAGGTGGATCAGGAGCAGTATCAGGAATAACATTCAGTAATATTCACATGGACTACGTCAGGAATCCGATTATAATTGACCAATTCTACTGCCTCACCAAGAGGTGCGCCAACCAAACATCTGCCGTTTCAGTATCAGAAATTCTCTATGAAAACATAAAGGGAACTTACAATATTCGCAGTTCACCAATACATTTTGCGTGCAGTGACTCCCTCCCATGTACCAACATAACACTCTCAGATATTGAGCTTCTTCCTGCTGAAGGATATTCAGTACTGGATCCATATTGTTGGAATGCATATGGAGATTCACAAACCCTCACTATTCCTCCAGTTTCTTGCTTGATGGAGGGCATTCCCGGATCAATCTTGAATAATGAGATGCATTATTGTTGACTCAACTGCTACCTAGAGCCTTTTCGAATCTTTTCTCCATCCAATCCCATCTGAAGCGCTAATGGTTTTATGGCCTTCTAAATATACTCTTGATGATTATCCAACAAAAAAAATCCCTTCTGAAGAGTCAGGCAATTTCAAACTTTTTTTTTCATCATCCAAACTCCAAATATTTTGTATATATAACATGTTTAGTGCAATGAACGCCTTCAGCATATCTCTTTTACCTTAACTGATGGGGATTTATTGGTTGTGATTCAAATGATCACAGAATTCATGTAAACAGGCAAACCGCAGAACAATTGAAGTACAGTAAAGAATCATCGATATGAACAGAAGTCGCATTAAAATCGGCAATAAACGAGTTTATTTGTTGCAAGAACGAAAGAAAAGAGTTTCCAAACACTCTCATCAGAAATCACAAATTAATATCACAAAAGTATCCAATAAGGTTTAACAATTGATGTGTAAGAGCATAGTAATATGGCTGAGAGAGGAAAGGGAAATTCATTGGAAAATGATGTAAGAAAGAAAGTAATCGATTGTCATGATT